CTATAAACAGAGAGGAAGAATTAGTTCCCATTCTGGTAGTTGTGTCTATGACCCTAAAATGCTTACCCCACACACAGCAGGAATTCAGCTCCTGAGGGCACTGACAGTGCCATGGCACAGCTGATAGAGGAGGAGCAGGAGGAAGCTGTAACAAGCACTTGCTTATTATTAGAGAAACTTGGGATGGCAATTGCAAACACTGCCTAAAAGCCACACCACTCCTCCCCAAAACCAAAAACGTGAAACAGGGGTCAACTGCAGGGTGAACAGGCTTTAGCAGAATGCTTTCTTGTTACATGTGAATTGGATTCCAAAGTAAACAAAAAAATCTCAGACTGTGCCCTTTCAATCCCAGTGACGGAGCAGGACAGGTACTTTGTTGCTGTGTTCTGCAGCGTTCATTTTTGTTAAAAGATGTATCAGAAAAGCCTTGTTCAGATGCTGATTTGCCTCTTCAAACAGCTCTGCTGCTTCCTCCATAACACTTTCTCTGGCTGGTCTTTTTCCTGATGGTCTGAATAATTAGTTCTCTGGGGAGATCAAGTCTTTTCTTGCTTCCTACTACTGGAACAGGGAATATCTGGACTAATCCCATGGTACCCTGATAATGCTCCCTTTGACATGTAGGAGATCCTTTATGGAGCATGATGTGACCCTTCCTGCAGACAAACACATGTCACATGTGCCAGGTGAAGCAGGCTCCAGCTAGATCCATTTATGTTTATCACCCAGTACAGCAGGACTTGCACAGTGGTATCTCTGCAGCAATCCTGTTTGATAAGCTGCTCTGCAAAGAGCAGAATGCCAGTGTGGATGAGAGCTCCTCTATTCCTGCCTGGGTGGCCATAACAGATGGTCTATAGTGGAACTCCAGACACACAAAAAAACGTGAAGTGGCACAAATCTGAGTCACTGGTACAAAAATCTCTGTTCTGGAGGGCTCTTGACTGCTGTTCCAACTGTCTGGGTGCTAAAAAGCAGAGCTGAACTGGTGAGGAGCTGGCCCTGAAAATTCCTTTCCAGCTATTTTTAAAAAGCCCTTTTGTAGCAGAGTGAGGCAGTGTAAGTTTTCAAAAGAATAGGTTTGTCTTGCATCTTTGATAGCAATGGAAAAACACTGATCAAAAGCATTTATTATTGCTTGTAGATCTCCAGGAAGGGCTGCAGGTACTGAATGTGCACATATTTTCATATATAGGCCCACACACTTGTATGGGAAATGTTGGTCATGGGAACTTTTATCTGAGGAAAGTTAATTTTTATTCTTGCAAATTGGTATTACATGTATTTATACAAACACATACATAAACATATACAGATACACATCTATGTAAAACACCTGCAGAACTCAGTTCTTCTCCATCTCTGCTTGGGATTCACATCACCATTTTCAAAGCAGCAATTTTTACAAAATACAGGCTAAACAGAGAATAGGAGAAGGAAAAGTAACAGTATCCCTTTAAAACATCAACAGTCTTACATTCATGTCTTATGTTGTGCTCTGAAATCTCATCACAGATGAGGACTTCACAGATTAAAGCAGAAAAAAGAAAGCGACCAGGAAATAAATGGGAAGCCCACTGCATAAAATCTGATGGCCACATGATAAAGAAAAGGTAAGATTTGGTTATTCCCTGATAAAGCCTGTATTTTTTCCTTGAATTGTTACTGTCCAAACATCACCTGATACAAAACACATCATAAAAATGCTTTACACAGCCAAAATGGAGCAGCCAGACTACATGGACCATCTAAGAAATGAATTAGCTGAATGCATTATTTACCAGCTTGTTCAGCTGCACTGAAGAACTAATTCTGTAGTTATTATACAAAGTCAGAATGAAGAGTAAAAACATCTGTGTGCACTGGACAGTGGACTTGGACAGCACTGTTGATTTTTGTCCCTTCTATGGCAGTTATTTTAATAGATACATCACAGGTTTCAGTTTTAGGTATTTGATGTTTTACAAAGATGGATTAATCCCATACTAGGAAAACTGAAGTACAATCATGTAAAATGACTTGCTGAACTGCACCTGAAGTGCCAGTGTAGCCATCAGGCTGTGCTAGAACCTCCCTTCTGCAGAGTGTGCTGCCAGCAGCTTTATGAGCTGCTCACATCAAAAGCAGCACACAGGACACTGAGCAGAACTGAGCAATTCTGAGCACATGGAACAGCACAACACACACAAATGCAGGTTCTGTCCCTCACTAATGGGACATTGCACTGGTTTTGCCATATTTTACCTTATCTTGGTATAACTCCAACCCACATTCGTTGTTATCCACCCTTGTTTGCATTTAGAATATTTTAGCTGCTTTAGTTTAAGAAAATTTAAAGTTTTAAATGTCTACAAATGCGTACAAATAACTCTTCTAAACTTAAGAGTTACACAACCCTTCTGTAACTGTGGCACAGTTCAATCTTAGTTTTGCTTTTTTAAATACAATCCTTCCGAGAAGTGCAATCGATTTACAGAGGATGACAAATTCTACAGTTCTCTGACTTAACATCACATGGAATTTCATTTTAAAAGATGCCTTGACTGCTTGATTATAAAATAAAAATGAAGGCATGGCATTAGGGCTGTTGCAGGAAATAATTTCTCAAGCAGCATTACTGTCTACTTGAGGGAGAAATACCTGGCTTGGGAGGTCAGCAGAAATGGATGCGGGGGTAAAACAGGTCAGCAGGATTGTGAATAGATCAGACTGACTCAAAAGCTTTTGTATTGGCAGGTGTGGACAGGAGTGGGGTCTGTGACAGGCAGGACAGCAGATGCTGGCCTTGCTGAGGCCTTAATTTTAGTAATGTCCAGTCTTGGGCACTACTGTTAAAAAAAAAAAAAAAGATGTGAATGGTTTTGAGACAACATAAGGAGAAGACATAAGCATCTTAATAGGTTTAAACCTGTGCCACACCAGGAAAGATTGAAAGGAAGCGAAATTGCTTTGCCTATAGGTAAAAAAAATATAGGGGAGACATTTATCTTAAGATACAAGGAGGCACTTTGAGAGATGAGAAGCAAAACCACTCACATCCATTACAGTTATACTTCAGTGGCCATAAGCTTTTCACTAGTGCTGCAGGTTCCTCAGCAGGAGCTGGACCAGGGAACTGGCTGAAAATTAGCAGTTTTGAAAGCAGTTTGACAACAGCTTAAATGACTTTGAATCAAGTCTGACACAGTCTCACTTCCTCCGTTATGCCAAAAGCTGAGTCAGGAAGCTGAGTAGGACAAAGCTAGATATCCTTTGCAGGGTTAGTAATGTTGAGGGGATTCAGCACCTGCACAAACAGCAGGGATGTGGCTGACCCACCAAAGCAACCAGCTCTCAAACTCCCTTTGAGCTAATTTCCTAAAAAAAAAAAAGACTGTACGTCAGAGGGATTTGGTCATATCAACATAGGAGGGCTGCTACTCATAGATGTCAACTTTTTAAAAAATATAACATTGATATTAACACCATTACAGAATCTCACAATCAGTGAGGTTGGAAGAGACCTCTGAGATCTAGGACTGAACACCACCTTGTCAACCAGACCATGGCACACCAGTCTTTCCTTAAACACCTCCAGGGACAGTAACTCCACCGATCACCCTGGGCAGCCCATTCCAATGTCTAATCACCCTTCCTGTACAGGAATTCTTTCGAATGTCCAACCCAACCCTCCCGTGGCTCAGCAGGGATGTTCCCTGACATCCCTTACTTTGTCCCTTTATTTCTGTCACTTGTCTGAGAGAGAGGAGACTGAACCCTGGCTACACCCTCCTTTCAGGGAGTTGCAGAGCACTAAAATCACCCCTGAGCCTCCTCTTCTCCAGACTAAACATCCCCAGCTCCCTCAGCTGCTCCTCACAGGACCTGGTGCTGCGGATCCTTGCCCAGCTTCGTTACCCTGTAGCCATTAGCTGTATTTGGGAAAACCCCCAGCAAAAACAAATCAACCAAACCCATCAAACACCAAGCCATCGGGTAGATAAATTTCACCGAAATTTATGATATTTAACTATGGTATCTACAAGCAGTCATGGTGCTGGTCCCTGGTTCCAAGTATATATAAATATACTTGGGGGGGCAAAAAAAAAAAAAAGAAAAAAAGCGATGGAGGCAGCGATCACACACTGGGCTGAGAAACCCAAGGGTGCAGAGCTGCAGCAGAGAAGAGTGAGGGGTGCAGCGGCTGCTTCCCAAAGCAGGGACCCGCCGGCTCGGTCCCTGCGGCTGCACCCAGCGCGGCCCCTCGCCCGCAGTGCGCCCCGGGCAGCGGCTCTGCGCCCCCCGAGAAGCTCCCACGGGGCTTTACCTCAGCCTGAGCGCGGTGTCCCCTCAGCAGCGCCGGGTTTTACTGCTCAGCCGACGGGCCCCGCCGCTCGCCCGGCACAGGGATGCGGGCGACGCGCGGCCGAGAGAGGCGAGGGACGCGCGGGGCTGCGGGGCCGCGCTGCCGGGGGAGGGGGCGGCCCTTTCCCGGCGCTCCCGGCGGCCAAGGCGGCTCCGGGCGCCACTGAGGCGGCGCGTCCCGGCGGCGGCTCCGGTGGGCGGTCGGAGGCGGTCCGCGGGCGGGGGGCGGTGGCAGCAGCGCGCTCGGTTGTGAGCGAGAGCGAGTGCGTGCGAGCGAGTGCCATGGCCGGAGCCCGCTGAGAGCCACAATAGGAGCGAGACCCCGACGCCCACCGGGACCCTCCGCTCGCTCTCCCCCGCGCCAGCCGCCGGCGGAACAGCAGCGCTCCCCGCCCTGCCCGGCACTGCCCCCCCCCCCCGCGCCCGCCGCTCCCCCTCGGCTCGGCTCGGCTCGGCTCCCTCCCGCCTCGCAGGGCCCTTCTCCGGGAATGTGAAGAGGCAGCAGCACCGCAGGCAGCGGGGAGTGCACGGGACTGAGCGGAGCCGCCCGCGCCTGAACCCGCCGCCGACGCCGCCCTGCGCCGGGGAGGCCGCGCTGCCGCCGAGGCCGAGGCCTACAGGGCTCCTGCGCCGCCGCGGCAGCGACCGAGCCCGGCGAGAACCGCACTCGGGCCGCCGCCGCCGCCAGGCATCGGCCGCGCTCCGCCAAGGCCGTCGCCGCCTCCCTCCGTCTCCGGCTTCTCTACCGGGAGCGTCAAGGTAACTCCATCGGCGGCCCGGCGGTGCGGGAGGAGGAGGCGCGGGGGGCTGCGGGAGGACATGTTCCAGCTGCGGAGATCCCGTCTGGAAATGACAGCCGAGAGCGGATAATTGCGCCTCTGCTCCCTTCCCCGCCGATAGCCGTCGGTATTTTCACTTCCCCCCCCACCCCCCCCACCCCCGGGACCGGCGGATCTGATGAGCGTGGCTTCGTATTTACCAAAATACTCGGGGAATGGAGCGGAGGAAGCGGGGAGCGGTGGCCGGGTTTGCAGCTTTTCCCCCTCGCACACAATAAATAATCTCGGGCTTTATTCCCCCCCTCCCCCCCACTGTTGGTGGAAACAGAGTATTTCCCTGTGATAGTGTATGCAGGGCAGCGAATGTTCATTTGGAGAGGCGAAAAAAAAGATCAGTGTTTACCGTAAGGTTGTTAGGCTGGATGTAGTCTTGTTGAATTAGAATTAGATTTTAATAATTTATAAAGCAGGTTAGGGAAACTGTTACTAAATTTACAGCAGAGAAGTGTCAGTAAAGCTCCTTGCTGACACAATGATCCTGCAGTTTAAGTGATCTACTTTAGTCGCTGTCCATTATTACTATTTTTATTATTTTTCGTAATTTGATTTGGAGAGAGCATGCAAACATTTCTGCAGGGATGGTTACACTTTAATGATGCACGTGATGAGGAGGGGAAGCTTTCTGATGAGATGAGATGGGGCCAAACCGATTCACGTTTAGGGAATATATTTTTGCTGATATATTCAGAATTTGGTTTATGTAACAGGTAACTTTGTGTGTTTTTTGGCGGACTGTTGAAATCTTAGAAGTGGGTTACTAAAGTACAGGCCATTCTATTCCAGTTTATCTGACTTTTTTATTTATTAATCTTGGCTGGGGCCTGAATGCCCTGGTGATGGTGGCTTTTTTTTTTTTTTTGCCTGGGTGATAAACAAGACCAGTTTAAGGTACAGGTTCATGTTGCTGATAGTATATTATATTTAGAAAGCCTAAGCTGGTAGTGAAAGAATACCTCAGGAGAAATCAAAATGATGGAATAAGGTTTCTTTTTCATTATTGTAATGCCAGCTGCACAGTTCAGTTTCTGGGTGCTGCACATGCTTCCTTGAAGAAGCTATGGAGTTTATACTCCCTTTTTGATAGATTCACTGCACCTATATGTAATTTTGCATTAAATAGTTCTTATCTTTTGGAGCTTGTTTACACTGTTGCAACAAGTCTTGCTTTCGAAAGCTTTTCTTACAAAAGACAAACCCAAATAATGCCTGTTTCAGTGGATTTAGTAATCTACCAAGCATACGAGTGAGCAGATCATTTCAATAAAAATAATAAGTACTCGAAAGCGTTCTGTGTGTTGTGGAATCAACTTCTTGTGGCACACGAGGAGTCACTTTGGTAATTGAAGTCAACAGACATTGGGGATGAGTAATGCTTTCCAAGGACATGCTCTAAGACCCTGATCCTGCGAGTGCTTACGCCGATGCTTAACTTTGCACGGGTGCCTGTCCTGGCCGAAACCGCCAGAGCTGCCCTCGTTAATGGTCGTGTTAATTAATGAATGCAGATGAGGCTGCTGGACTGAACTGTGCACCGAGCTGCTGCTGCTGCTTGTAACGTGTAGGCCTGAATTCCTCCTGTCTCCTCTGCCTTGAGTATTACTCATGGATTTCATCAAGCTCTGATGGGCCTTTTTAACAGGCAGGACCAGACTGGTAAATAAAATAGCTGGATGCGTTAATTCAGTGCTTGCTAGAGGTACAGAGTCAGCTGCAGGAGTACCACCAAGGCAGGTTTTGTAGGAAGAAGCGAATGCCTATTGCCTAGGCCAGCTGAAGTTGGGAAACAAACAAACTTTTGCTTGCAGAAGCCTTTTTTGGCTCTCTGCCTCTCCCTGCAAACCTTGTGTGTCTCATGCCCTTAGAGCAGTTACTGCTGCCACACTGCCAGTCGTCCAGAAATGCCAGGACATGGAATAACCACATGTAAAGGCACTCACAGGGAAACAACTGAGTGTTTCTGAAGTGGAGAATAAAGAAGTAATACGCACAGTTTGTCAGTGTTAGTGAAATTGTGAAGCACAGCAGTACTTTTTACTATAGTTTCCTAAATTTCTGTAAAATCTTGCATGTAGGTGTGGCAAATAAATGGAGTTTTTGTTCTGTCCTGTGTTTTTTGTCCTTAATGCCAAAAAACCATCTGTGCCTTTTTGTGTACCCGTTCTTGAGCAGAGTAAGTTGAAATGACTTCATCCCAAGGAGTGCATAATTTAAAGCTACGGTCAGGTCTGCAGGTCTGTGAAGTTCTGTTCTGATGAAGTTCTGAATGCAGTGATGTCAGCATTAGGTCTGAAATTTTTGGCAAATGACAGACACAGATAAAAATGTAGGCCAGAGGAATTACTACACTAATAATTAAGTTTATTCCATCCATAAGATGGGTTAGACCTCTCAACAGTTTATCTGTGTGAGTTGTCAACAGGAAGAAGATATTTGGAAAGGTTAGATGAATCTTTACCTGTTTCACTCATTTGGGACACACTTTTAACACATGCTTTCCTTCAGTAGGGATATGTCCTCAGCACCAACTACTCCTCCATCAGTGGATAAAGTAGACGGATTTTCTCGGAAGTCCGTCAGAAAAGCCAGACAGAAGAGGTCACAAAGCTCCTCCCAGTTCAGGTCTCAGGGCAAGCCTATCGAGTTAACTCCCCTGCCTCTGCTAAAAGGTAAGATCAAACACAGTTTTTAATAAATAAAACAATTTTTGCTCTACATCCAACTTAGAAAATCAAAGTATTGTCAGGAATTGCAGGGAAGTTTTCCAGGCATTGAGAAATGTTTCGTGCCAGATGTATATGTGTTTAAGCTCCACAGAATATTTTATCTGTGACTTGAGGGTGTGGTAATTGTTTGCAATACTTTTGGAAGTTTTAAATGCTGATGTTAACCCCTACCACGACTTGAATTTTCAAGGCTCTCAGGCTTTGTGCAAGTGTGTTCTGGTTTGTGAATCCTCAGCAGCTGACATAAATCAGCAGTAATTCTGGTAAGGGTAAATGGACTTCTGAGCTGAAGGAAACTGGTTTTTAGTGTCTTTCCTTGGTGTGTGGATCTGCACCCTGTGACAGTGGTGCCAACTGCAGCCCCTACAGCAAGGGAGGAGGTGGGATCCCCTCTCTTACCATTTGTGCATGGATAGCTCCCAGGTCCTGCCTTCTGCTGGATTTTGAAATGGAAAGGTCCCATGAGCTGCAGCCTCCCAAGGGGGAAGATGCTGCCAATCTGGTCTTAGGCAAGGCCCTGCTGTTTTGAGATCTTGCAGATCCCAATGCTGGTTGGGTTTCTGCTGGCAGATTGAACCTCTGGTTTGAGAAGGAAAAATATTATACAGCATACTGCTCTTAAAAGGATGTCAATATTTCTGTGATACTTTTCCTGCTTCTCCATAATTTTAGTTGTCACTGAATTTCAGTACAAATCCAGGGGTCAAAAGCACCTCTCAGAATGTCTGTCTGGTGAGGAAGGGGAACTCACCTTTCAGAAGTCTTCAACACTGACTTCTCAAATGGTTTATTTACTTCTGTGTGTTTTTTTCATTGCTATTCTTCATTTCTGCTCTAAGTAGTGAAAATAGGCATGGCTGATGCTGATAATTCTGGAAAATAGGAGGTTTATTAGGTTTAATGCTGTCCCTTTTCTTCCTTTTGGGGCAAGTATATTCCCCACATTCTCTCATCTAACTTGTTTGACAAATTTGTTAATCAGGGTATTTAAATATGTAACAAAGGTGGAACTGCACTTTGGTTGGTTCTTAACCCCACTTCATAAGGATACAGTAGTTGCAAAAAAAAAAACCTCAACAAACTCCCCAAAAATCTCACACCTTAATGTGTGTTTCTAAATTTAATTAAAAGTAGGATTCTTTTACAGGAACAGGATTAGTTCCAGTGGATCTGTCATTGCAATATTGTGGGCTTCTTTCTGTGGCTCCCTGTAGGAATGCACAAATGGAATATCCTGAGTCAAACTAAATATGCACCCAGCCCCCCTGCACTGTGCCTGGTGATGACTTTTATCCAGTATTTCTCAGTTTAGGGTTGGTTGGTGCCACTGGATTTGACTTTGTAGTCTGCAGTGAATGTTATTGGTGATACTTTGGGTGATCCTGTGCAGGGCCAGCAGTTGGACTTCAATGATCCTGTGGGTTCCTTTCAACTCAGGTTATTCTGTGATTCTAAATTTTTTTTCACTTTGTTGTTGAGCTCTTTTGTTGTTTGGTGAAAATATGATAAAGAAGCAAATACTTCTTTCAAATAGTTTTAAAGCTCAGTTTTACACTTTTCAGGTGATTTTTGGTATGCAGGTTATTTCATGCCAGTTGCTACATTTTGGAAGATGACTGGAGTTTATCCTTTGGCTTAAATGATGGGATTAGTGGAAAACATTTGGATTTCTATTTGTACAAATGAAGAAATTGATGTTGTAATTATTTCTCTCTATTCTGTAGTCCCATTCAGGGAGTAAAGCAGGCATGGACATGAGTAAAACAGTGAGACCTCGCCTTGCAGAAACACAGGCGTGTCCAGGTGCTTCATGTGACTCCTGCAGCCAGTCCTGAGGATTGAGATATAAAACTATAATAAGATAAAACAAACAGATGGGGAGCAGAGAGTGTTGGTGAGACATTTATGATTAGCGTCATAATGAGTTACAGTGGTCCAGCTTCAAATGCAGAATGTGATCCTGGGAGTTGCTTTTCCCTCTTTGCCTTAATGCGGATCCCCAGAGGCACAGGGATCTACCTGTGCAGATTAATTTGTGGGATTTGGGCCTAAGAGTGTCTCTGAACAGCAGAGCTATTGGTCCCTGCAGAAGGGACACTGGCAGCTAAAAATCATGCTGCTGCTGTTTGGAAATATTCTTGACCTACATTAATATTTGTAACATTCAGGGTTGTTAAGTCTGCAAGAAGTGAGGAAATTATTTTCTTCTGTGTTGTTCGTCCTTTTCTTGACCAATTTCATCAATGTCCTGATTATTTTTTAACTCTTATGGTTACGCTCACCTTCCAACAAGCGACCAGTTCTATTCCTTCTGTCCAGTAACCATATGATTTCCAGTTTTATCCTGGAAAATTTTGTCCTTTAAACCCAAATAGAGAAGAGATACCAGCAAAGTAGCTTTTTAAAGTCTCAAAACTGAGCTTAGTTTGGAGATGTGCAATTGATAAGCTTCCTGGTTTGGGTAAATTTCAGGTTTAATGAAATATCTTCAGAAATTTTCAGTATGGGAACTTTTTAGAGGACAGACCTCAAATTCATATTCATCAGATGTATTTCATATGCATCATAGAGGGGTCTTGCTTACACAAATATACATGCTATGCTCCCTTATATTATTTTTTTTAGATTTTTTTTGTGGATATATTGTATATTGACATTGTCAGGCTGCTTTATCTCAAACAGCACTTTATGGCCTTCAGTATCTTCTGTGATTACAAGAATCATGTATGCAGAAAAGTGCATACAACTGCTTGGTCCATTCCTTGCAAGTTTTTATACTCTGCCTGTCACCATAATGATCTGAGCACCTTCCAGTAGTGTATTAAGTGACGTGACTACACATCTGTCACATCTTATCTGCTCTCCTTCCTCTCCCTAGGGGCAGAGTCACATAGAGTGAAATGGCTTGTTTTGGTAGTGTTTTAATGCAGTCTGTTGCCTTCTGTGAGCATACACGCCTGTATTGCAAAAACAGATAGATAGCCAGCCTTGTTGTTGTTCTTCGGTAATAAAAATATTTTGGGAAAGAAAAATAAGAGGGATGCTATGTTTTGATGCTCTGTATAAGTCTGAAGGATAAGCTGCTATTTAGGAAATGGAATAAGAACAACTGGAAATTTCAATGTTGCTCATTTCAGGGAAAAAAACGTATGCAGAAATGAAGTTGTTACTCTCATATTTTTTTAAAAAGTGTGTGGATGGTATCAGTTTGCAAACAAACATTTAATGTATTTGGAAAACAAGGTGTTCCTTCTGAGGCTCTGCTGAGTTCAGGCTTTCAAAAGCCCTAAGTCAAAAAACTTCTGTTTGCCTAGAGTAAAGACTTAAAATTTTAGATGATTTCATTATATTTTTATTTATTGCATTGTGACTCAATCTAATTTGAAGCTAGCTTGAAAAATCTGACTATTGTCCAATATTACACTTTAAGCCCAGTGTTTTCTCCTTTGTTTGAAGTGTAGAGGAGTGGGATGGGAGGTGCACACGGGAGTTGTGGCACAGGTGCATTTTGCCTGTGTGTGTGCTCCTCTGTAGTTTCTCACATGCATTTTTTGAAGGTTGCTTGCTTTCCCCCGGTGGATCTCGCAGTGCATGATGGATTTTGGCTGTCCTTTGAAGAGGCTGCTGGTATTCCCCAGGCTGGCAGGTGCCTTAGGTGTAACTGGCTTGTGACAGAGCAGTCCTGGTGAAGGGCCCTTTTTTGGGATTGAGTAATTCCACCTGTGTGCCTGAAATCCCCTCCCAGGTTTGCTAACCAGGTTTGTGGTGTGCCTCAAATCGAGCTTGTTCTGTAGAGGTAAATAGGATTGTAGCTGCACTGGATAGGTGTATTATTTATTGGAGGACTATTTTGCTTTCATTTTGTATAGCTGCTCTTTTTACTTAGAAGTCTCTAGAGGTGGAACAGCAGGAGTGCAATGTTAGAAAGCATTTGGCTGGAAAAAGAGTATATTGTAAGTGCTGGACATGTGAAAACAGAGCAATTTCAGTATTACCTGCAAAAGGGGGAGGGGGAGCTCATTTGTGTTTCTGCCTGGTGTCTGTAGAGGTGGAGGAGTGTTCAGAGAATGAAAACTTACACAGAGATGATTAAAAACATCGTGTGTCTTACAAATGCACATTTAGCATCCTGAGAAATTGCACAGAGAACTTGCATGCAGCTCACAGCATCATTGCCATCCCCCTTGTCCTCATTACAAATACAAAAGTTAGGCAAAGCAAACCATCCAAAAGCCAGACTGTTAATTGTTAAATCATTTGTATCCCATTTTTCTAATTCAGGGTGTGTTTTTTTCCCTGTCATCCTTCTACACTTTCCAATGATTTAATGTAATTAGTGAAGGTTACTTTCATGTTCTCTGCAACTATTGTATATTTTTGTTGAAAAAGTTTCAAAATATGATTTTTATTTTTAGATGGTTTTTCCTCCTTAAAATAAGTGCTCAGAGCAGAAGTTCTCTGTCAACAGTACCAATTGCTTTGCTGCCTCAATATTATGAAATTTTTTGAGCTTCTAATACATTTATCAGATAGTTTCCATGGCATTAAAGAATTGGTGTAGTGGCAACAAAAGAGCATTGCATAGTCAAAAAGGGAAAAATCTCTTTCCACTTGCTATTTGCTTTTGATCATTAAATTATTTCCCTATAGCTGAGATTTTATTATAAGTTTTTCTTGTGAATCTTATCTATTGGTCAAATGCTGAGGTTCCTAAAGAGTAAAAAATTGTAACAATTTGAAAAGACTCTCAACTGAGAACTGCAAGATGTGCACCTTGTTCAAATGCAGTTACTTTTGAATTTTTAAAATATTCCTTTAGCATAAAAAAAGTATCCAGGTCTTTGCAGACCTATGGATGCCACCTAAAACTTGTAATATGAGAAATAGTTATGATTTGAGTTGTAGAAGAAGGACAGAGTTTGTTTTCTGTTGGCTTCCATGGG